GATTTGACGAGCACAAAGGTGTTGGACTACCCTCCGCACTGCCCAATGATTTCCACGGAGAGAGACTCAAAATGAGCCCGAAAATACTCTCCGATTGATCAACTAAACATGCGTCCATGATAGCTCTTTGAAAGAATCAACAGAAGTGAAGCAGTAATCTCTCGGGATCCATAGTAAACAATTAATGTAAGCGAATAGGTCCATAGCGATCGACATTCCAAAGCCGAGCGATAACCAATGTGGATTGCCGTGAATACTTTGCATAATTAAGCATAGCCAAACAACAGTCCAGTAAATAATCAAAACAACGATAAACATTTTGCCGATAGCTGAGAGCGATCAGCAAACCAGCTGCTCAGTGTCCTCTTCGGATTTGAATATATCCCCTCTATGCAAGACTGCCAGACTGTATTTTACATCATCTGTTTCACCAAGATCACATTTCGTTGATCCTCTGCAAATGCTTGTTGTAATCAGTTCGAAAAAATTGTCGTATTCATTGAAAAAGAAAGCTGTCCAAAAGTTCACCTCAAAAGAGAACAGTTAAGGAATGTGCTGCTGAAACAAGGGTTTTCTTCAGCGAGATGAGTGACTGGTTTTATGATTTTTCTGCTCGAAAATGTATATGATGAATAGAATTTTGATATGTTGTCTGCCACTGTTGTCAGATTATTCATAATGTGTTTTTGGAATGTTTTGATTGGTTGTTGTTGTTGTACAAACAACAAGCGAAAAAAAAGGAGAAGAATATTTTGTCTGCGAAGTGGTGATGCTTCACATCAGAGACGTTGTTGGTTGTTCTGATGATAAATAAACAAGAAAGATGTGCGGCGATATCGTGCGATATTGATCTGTGCGATATTTATGCATGAGACGGCTGCCGGCTGCTGGATGCATGAATAGATGGATGGGCATATAAAGTCAGTCACACGTCGTCGTCGACACTATCAACTATGCATGAGCAATCAGCATTGAATTTTTTCCTTATTTATCATGCCTCTCAACAAAACATCAAAGTGGTTCTTTTGATTTATCGTTTTAAAGAGACTGACATTAATTGCTAATCGCTCAATATACGATTGTTTATAACCATGTGAGCAGTATTGACTACTGCTGATACCGGTATGATTTTACATGGTAAATACTCTATTGCAACAATATTTACCATCATGCATTGGTCAGTGTGACATAATGTGCTGTGATCAAGCACATGAAACTGCATACGTGCTTGTATAATTGAAATTTGAAACCTTTCTTTTTCTTCACTAGTATTTATATCGTATGAAATAATTCATTCAAGTCGACTGTCTCATTTCGCGGTTCTGCAAATTTTTCGATGATGGATCACGCCGCAAATGAATGAAGCAAAGCAATCTTTCACGAATGCAGCAATCGAGGAGGATTAAATGCTGCTTCATGTGAAGGCATTAAATGCTGCTTTAGGTATTTAAGTGCGTTTTCGAAGTTTACGCATTTAGCTGAGACTAGCCGGGGACAAAGTGATTTGGTAACTGATAATACTAAAGAAATACCAAAAAAACTCGGTAACGTTTTCTTGAGAGGACAATGAAAATTGAATGAAAAATATATTCTTCTCGTTTTTCTTCTTGTTCATGCTGTTTTTACTATTTCGCCATGAAATTATCGAATTTTATCTTTTTGCCCTATCAATATTATTGTTAGTATTATGACTGTTGATGATATTATTGTAAGTATTATTGTCATTGTTACTATTATTATCAATATTATTATTATGATTATT